TATTTCAGTGATTTTAAAGTTGCATATCGTATGACATTTTGTTTGCATTTCGTTTACGCCCCATTTTTTTTCTAACCAATTGTAACTTCCGATTTATAGTATGAGTAAATTATAAATGTATTAGTTTGGCGACACCGGTTCTGGCAGAAATATTGTTTCAAGCTACTTCCATTGTATTCTATATTCCGTGGGGATAGTGACCCGTCTGCTAATTTTGGCATCCTATCATAGACGTTCAGCCCCGGGATACCTCTAAAACAAAGAGTATAGAAGTATAGGGGAAGTCTAAAATTAGTATCATTGTTACCGTTAATTGTTGTTATTAGCAACCGATAAACAAAGTACAAAAATATTTGCAGTGGTTTTGCTAGAAAATAATATTATTAATTTACTGCATACTTATAAAAATAATTATCATAAAGGAGTTTTTTTATATTTGTACTGTAACAAAAATTTTGCTATTACTCATCCAAAGCGCTGTAATAACGTGAGTTTCTAAATTCCGAAATATTTACCCATGTAACTGAAACGCTTGAATTGTTATATGTGTACAATAACCATAATTAATATTTGTATTCTTGGTAGTGATAACGGTTAAGGAAGTTAGAAAATGCCAGCGTTCGAAGCACCAAGTCTTGAACTGGGCAGTGGCCCTCAAACGCCGAGTATAGTTGCGTCACCTTCCCCGTCAGAAATCTCTAGCGCCAGTTCTCCTGAACCTCCGAACATACGAGTTACGCCTTTATTTAGGTAAATAATGTAATTTTATATTATATCCTAGAGGATAGAGGTATTAAAAATTCCTCCTTTATACGACGAAATATCCTGATACTTCGAAAATCCCAGTACCTAATAGCATAAAACTTGGCGTTGTGTACATGGGATTAGAACTAACTATATACTTGGTATAAAATTACTGTTTCGGGAATAAAAGGCGTGTAGTGATAAAAAATCTTCTATTTTTATTTAGAGCCTTGGCTATGCCCCCTCCTGAACCGGATCAACCGCCAGGCCAGGAAGAATTAGAGCGACGGCTTCCAGGCTACAGACGCATCATTATTCCACGTGAATTGACTTTGATAGAGCTTTTGGTAAGTCGTAACCTTTATACATATAGGTACATAAATTAAAGGTCGGACATTAATAAGACTTCCTTTAAACTTAAGACACAAAAATTAATCTAAAAATACATTTTGACCCATTCGAAATTCCGGTCGCTTATGATTACAAAACGTGGAGCATGGAGGTAGATATTTCAATGAGGGTTTTTGATTTTACACTCACTAGATGGCACTAGTAAGACTTAAGTGTCTTAGTAGGTAGCAGATATTTTATTTTATTTGATTTGATTAATTTGTTAAACCGTAAATTGTTTTCGGTTCAGAAACAAAGCAGTGGTGTGACAACTGACGATGAGGTCTTGCACATTCGAGAGGCTAAACTTCGTGTTGTAGCAGATCGAGTTGGCTTGAGAAGACTACACGTTCTCTCTCCAAGACTACGAACTCTCACGCTGGATGGAAGCGCACTTTCATCCTTGCGCGATCTTGGTATCGGTTTAGTTCATCTCAAAGTAAGTTAATACAACAAATGACTGTTATGATTTCTCAATTTCTCAAGTGAATGGTAGTTATAGCGTCCGTACACAAAATATCACCTTACAAACTTGGTTTGTTTTATGATTTTTCTTTTTCTCTTTCAATCTTTGTTCTATATTTTTGTCATTACAAATACGTGTTTTTAACAGATTTTAAGTATAAGCCGTTGTGGTTTATCGAGTTTGGACGGCGTTTGGGGATTGAATAATTTGAGGGAGCTGTTTGCTGCTGGAAACCGCATCCAAGATTTACAACCATTGGCTGCGTTACAGAAACTGCACACCTTAAACCTGGCTGAGTATGTTCTACTTACCTATTAATCTACACATGTAGCGAGCCAAGTATTAATAGTAATTTATAGTAACTAAATTCAGAAATATTTCCTGTGTGGCGCATCGTGTCGTACGCTCCATAAGCTAATTGGTTTCAGTGGTACTATGCTTAGAGACACACTTGCATGTCGCATCGGTTAGCATGGGTCGCTTGCTTGCAGTCGACTGATGGCCATGGAGCCACGACATACAATTTTTATTTATTTAACTTTTATACAATTGCATAAGGAAGACTTAATGCTAACAGCATTCTCTGCCAGTCATCCTTTGGGTAGTGCAGAAATGTATGTGGTAGGTGGTAAGCTGCAAAAATGTGTCTCTGACTGAAGAAGAAGAGTTTTAAAAGTCATACCTGTCAAATTTATTCATTGGATTTTCGACTCGTATGTAAATAAAATAAAGTTGAAAATGTAATAGAAAAATTGGACAGAAAAGAATAGGTTGTCTTGCTGCCACCGTACTTATAGCTAATAATTCTTTCATCCACAGCAATCCTATATCAGATTCCGGTCGACTTTGGACACTAGGAGTTTGCAGTTCCCTTAGGAAACTTACCCTCACAGGAACTCCTGCGGCTGAAGATGTGGACTACCGTTCACGAGTGGCTGCTGCACTGCCAATGCTAGTCTACTTGGATGACAGACCTTTGCATACAGATGTTACCTACAGTATGTATTTAAGCTTAATGTCACCTTTTCCAACAGATCGATTGAGTAGTTGCACAGACACGTTTTTTTTTTTCTATCGTGATGGAAATCCTCTTGGACTTTCCGCGCCGTGAGGACGACGAGGGGGCGTGCCGGACTCATACCGGCTAAAACCACCGCGGTGTTCCTTCATTGCCTGTGACCGTGACCCGGGTTGCCCTTAGTTGCACAGACACTATTTAAAGCAAATTTTATTTTGAACTTAACCGTTGAGTTAGTACAGTCGAAAATAATCTAAAGAAGATATACAATTTCGAATTAATTAAATGTAACGTCAAAGCATTTTATTAGGTAGGTACAGTTGGCACGACTATAACTTCGATAATACCTAATAATGTCCTCTACCACTATAAATTGTAGTAAAAAATTTAAAACCATACCTAGAACCTAGTTTTTAATAAAAACTGCTTCATAATGATGACGGAGTATGAAAATTAAAAATATAATAGTCCGTAAGTTAAGTAATGAAAAAATATTAGACACGTATTTTTTTATTTTGTCGTATAACAAAACAATACTTAGATAAAACAAATCAAAGTTTAGGAGTGGGGCTAAAACGAAATTTCTACGTATACAATGTACAATGTACATAGAAGTGACGCCACGTGACATTTCAAATCAACATACCGTCAAAAGTATTCGTTTCTGTAAAAAAATAAAAAATACGTGTTTAATGATTTAAAATAATCTACCAGACGGACATTAAAATAAAAATAGGTATCTACCTCAATCAGTAGGTAGTTATGAATCAGCTGTATCCAGTTATCCACTGATACAGCTTACATGATGTTCTGCATTGCTAGCGTCATCGCGTGTTAGCATGTTCTATTCTCGTTAAGTCGTTAGTTCTTAACGTGAAAACCAGTCTTACACTGAAATGTAGATTGTTAAAAATTAGAACGAACAGAATTTTTTAAATGAGGTTTTTTTCAATTTCAATTTCATGATAGTCTGAATTAGCATTCAGACTATACATTTAGATCTGACAAATTATAGCTAATTTGTCAGATCTAAAATTCTAGAGCCACGGAGGTCATGACTTAGATGTATATAATACATTAGGTACTTACTTACCTTATTTTTTTTAATACTTACCTAGGTACCTGAAATAGATGCTGATTACAAGGTGAGACCAGATTAATGGGCGTGCTGTATTAATTAAGTACTTACGCCATTAATGTTTCCATCATTCCTATCTTTATTGCCATGAATGCCAGTCAATAAACCTTTAAACGTTTTTTAACACCAATTGACAAGTTCATTGGTAATGACTTATTTTGTATAAAGTACGAGATAAAAAGACTCATGTTTAGATAATTTGGTACCAAATTTGTTTTTTAGATTCGGATGAAGAGTTCGGCCCAGGAACATCGTCTTCTGAGAGTGATGGTGAAGAGGAACAAGAGCTATTGCCAAAACTAAACAGACCACCGCCAGCCGAACCTGAACCCGGACCTTCGACTATGCCAGATGTAAGGAAATGATACAAAAATTTCGGTTTACATATTTCACCAGGATATTGCAATAGACATCTGTGACCTTGATTTTTGAATTCAGTCCAAAAGTCGGTTTGCGCAGGCATGACTTGCACGAGAACGAGACATCTTGATAAAATTATTACGTTTATGGTACCGCATAGTGATTTTGGCTAATATGATAATGATAAGAATGTGTTAGAATAGTGTTAGGTATCTAGCTATTTAAAATGGTGACATTGTTAAGTGATCAAGATCAAAGACTGCGTCAATGGCCGAGTGGTCGCAAGTGCGATTGCCGGGCAAGGGGTCTCGGGTTCGATTCCCAGGTCGGGCAAACTACTGGTTTTTTTTTTTAAATCTCAGTAGTATCACGGAATCTGAAAATGTGCCCGGTATATGGCAATAGGCTCACCCGGCCCCTATTACATGGGACTCATAACATAAATACTATAAATAGTGAAAAGTGGGTGTTACTTCTGTGTGCACCTCTGCCTACCCCTTCGGGGATAAAAGGCGTGATGTTATGTTATGTTATGTTATTTTATGTTAAGTGATCTTGCAGTGATAATGATTTTACTAGCATGATGAGGGAGTTGAAAGATCACTCTCTATTGTCGAGATGATCACAAGAGCAACCTAGTCCAACCTAAGTGGGTATATCAAGATAATGACTAAATTTATCTTATAGGTACCTATTTTAAATATGAACAAACGCTTACGGAAGTGCCTAAGGATAAATTCTTATGTCTAAACTGTCTGTTAATGTTAAGCGAGGTAAACTAATTAAATAGGTAGATAGGTTCTTATTTGTTAAACTACTTATTTACATTAAGTAGGTACCTACCTAACCTAAATACAACTGGTGATAAAAAAAATAAGACACCGTTTAAAAATCAACACTGATGACCTATCTACTATCTACCAACCTAGAACAAATACCTTATTAAGTATATCGAATCGACTGCATGCATATATACAGACAAAAAGAACTCATTAATTAAAAATTTTTGTACGTAATAGGAAGTTCCAGAAGTTGATGAGGGTGGTAACACTGGCAATTCCAATTTTGAATGCGATACTTTACCGACACGTGTTCGACGTCGTCCAGCCACCACTGAGAATGCTGGTGTCAGACCAATTCGCCCCAACATCCCACCGAGGCCAAAAACTGCTCAAGACAGACGACAGAATTCCGGAGATCAACGAACCAGACTTGAGATACTGAATACGCTTTTGGGTATGGAGAATGAATAAAATGTATCTATTTACTTAAGTACTACCTAGTTAGTTATTAAGATTAAAATATGTCTGATTATGATTATACTGTCTAGTCTAGACAATTAGTCAGTCGCTTCCTTTCTTATGATTGACGGCTCATTTATTTTAATCGATTTTATTTGCAAACAATATTTAAGTACGTGTTTAATTTTATAATCGATGTAACGTGTTCTTTTACAAGATGATGAGTGGCTATGCAGCGGGAGTAAGTTGACCTCTTTGGATGCAGTCTGTGGGAATTTAGCAAGAGCTTTGCGTCGTAACTCTAGCGCATACCAGCGTCGCTTTAAAGGTGAGAAAAATAAATTCCAATAAGTTGGTACTTACATGGCTTAACAAAACAACCGTTGTTTTCATCGTAGTAATATTCGAATCATTAAAATTAATCAGCATTGACAAGACACCATAAAATTTATTACCTTCATCTGTCCATGTTGTCATAATCCGTTGTAGAAATATGTGAAGTACCTAATCATTGATTGTCTCTTAATGAATGCTGACATTTTGCCATAGAGAAACTCTCTGAATGTTTAGACACCATCGCAATGATTACATAGTCAGCAAATAGCAGCCCGTCTACAAACACAGTAGGTACTAGGTGCCTGCGTCTACATTGACTGTGACAACATTGAAGGTACGTGTCGAACCTAATTTCGGCCAAGATTGCCAAATGCGAACTTAAGTGCTTATTGATTAATCATCACTCATCACTAACATTGCATTTAGCAAAACAAAAAAAAATACAATCAGCCGAAAATCTCCTTTTTTTGAAGTCGGTAAAAAGTAACTTAATTTTTTCAAAAACAAACAGTTACTGTCACATATGCTTTGTTCACACTATGCTAGTAGTGTAGTCGAGCAGCGAGTGTTTAGTATATCCCTCTCGCTTCTGTCACAAAATGTAAGCGAGAGAGAGTTACTAAATACTCGCTACTTGACTAAAATACTAGCACAATGCGAACAAGGCAATAGGTATAGGTACCTTACACCCAAACCAAGTATAAACACAAGCATTATACCATGCGGGAATCAATTCCTATTCCGGATTCACGCTCGCAGCCGTAGCATGTAGGTCATCTAACAACTAGATCGACATAATTGTAAAAATGTTTTCTAAATATAGTGTTTATTAATGTAGTCTAGTCTCTCCTTCGTCGAAGTCACCTTTTTGTCATACTTTTTTTGCTATAAAAAGTATGACAGAAATCGACGTGAACTGCAAAGGTCAATGACTTATAACTGAAATCATTTATTCAAAATGAAGTTGCTCAAAAACTTTGCTCATCTTGTATGATATGGGATTACATACTTAGGACTTCTCTCGACAAGATAGCTTCTTTCGTAACTGTGAAAACTTAAAACTTACCTATGCTTAATAGAAGTTCTAATATAGTTCTCATTCTTTTGGTAGTAACGACGCAACGCCATAAATAGGTACAATTAAAATTTAAATAATATAGGAACGCACGTATTCTTTACGTGGGTAGCTATTCATTTTAATTAATTAATTAGTGTCCGAAAAACGCCAAGTGATTTTCTGGGCATCATAGTTTTCTTTTCTTCAAGTAGGTAGCAAATATGTCGAGTGATTGCTAAATTTTGATTACCCAATTATGGTCTCGAACTAAGATTGTTGTGAGAAAGCTGTGAAATTGTGCGTGCTCTTTGTTAATTCTGCTTGTTAACACAGCTAGGCTCATAAGATAATCAACAGAACCTTGTCCTATGATGTTTACTCTGTCTATTTGAAAATAACTCTGCTAATATTTAGAAAGCGGCTTGGTCTTAGGATCTTACTTATTAGAGCGTGTTTTTGGTAATTTCGGAGTAAAAACAAGCAGTTACATTCTCGTTTCACAATTAGTGTAATGTAAGGTTTTAATGGTTTTCTAAATTGCAAGGTACATAATCGGTTTAATTCAGTATATACAGAATTATATTTTTAGTCTCTTATACTTAAGGTAAACTTTCTTCGGAAATTGCAGGAAACAAAAAAATCTATTTAAAATCCAACTTTACTAAGAGTGATTTGGTCATTCCTGCCTCACAATATTAATTCGAATATGGATACTTGGATAATTATAATAATATGCTTTCATTAATAGATGCTGAGAAAGAATTAGTGGAACAGACAATGGAAGATGCATCAAGAGCGGTAGCAGCTGAAATACCGCGAGCACCGCGACTAGAAGATTGGGTCAAGTTCAAAGAAGAAACAGGGTAATGCTGTTTTAATACTTTAACTGCCAACTTTAAAACGATGAAAGTCAAACCTCCACTAGCGTCAGGCACCGGTGACTGACATGGCAGTCTAAGGGTTAATAAGTCATTAGGACAATGATGCATCTCTATAATAATATAAAAACTAGGTACATATTTAGTTTACTCGTTCAACTCTGAATAATTTATTGATTGTAGTGGATTGTAGGTGAAATTAGTTTAGTAGAAAGAGTATTACCTACCTCCAATGATGCTATCTTTTGACAGGATTGACATCGATATAAATTTTAATGACAGACCAAAATGTCTTGATCCCACAAAGATTCTTGAACGTCTCGAGAAAATAGAAAAGGAGACTCAAGAGAGGATTAGAGAAGAAACATTGAAAGCGAAGTCTAAAAATACGGATGGAAGTTTAAGCGGTACAGCTAGCTCATCCTATCTGCCAAACAGTATTTCTACGTTCGACACGATGTCGACTATAAATAATTATGAAATTTTTAACACAGATTTAGTTGATCTACCAGCTAGTGCAAACATTGATACATTTTACGATGACATTGATGATTTACATTCAGTTAGCAGAGAAAGGGTTGGTTTCCCCGATGACAATGACTCACTAACTGACTAAGAACACGAACAACTTTCACGAACGTGTCTTGATATTATATTACGTAGAAATTTAGTTCTGGATTTGCTACCTTATCTGTAGACTGTAGAAGATTTATTTCATTAGGTATCTCGATTTACTGCATCGTGTTTCCTTTGGGTTTAATAGTATCTGTGGATAGCGATACGGTATAGATGCAATGAAAACTTCCGAAGTGATAAGAGGCCAAAGAGAATTGAGAAAGTGCTCTAGTGAGTTTGTTACCTGTATTTTTATTATGGTCATCGTTTTAGTAGGTTTATCAACATTGCTTTTACCTGTTGAAAATAGGTGACCTACTTGAGTTTTGCGTAAAACTGGAATGCCGCAGAAAAACGTTAAATAGTGATTTCATATTAATTATTTCGTGATATTACTTTGTCACGAGGTCACGATGCACCTTGCAGATTTAATGAGTACCGTCAACAGAAAGTACTAAAATTTGCACTAGGAAATTTCATTACGTGGGTGAATAAAATTAATCCTTGGTTTTCTTAAATATTTTACTTTTAATCCACCAGAATTATAGAACTTAGATACTTTACTTAACTATTTATATGAAACTCCTAGGAGTTTTGGAGTGTTTTCTCCCTGTGTAATATATTTTCTTTTTTTTACACTAATATAATGTTTATAATAATTAATACCATTTTATGTCAATTATAATGCGTTACGAGATGGCTAATTCTTGTCTATTTGTATTAATTCGGTCTAGTCCTAGAAGGAATAAGGTTGTTCATATATCAACATTGAATAGCCTTCCGGAGATTTTAAGTTATTGTAGTCGTAGCCTAGCTCATTATATTAGGTACGCTATGATGATCTCTTATTGGTTTTGATAAACATTTTCTGGATTAATCTAATATTCATTAATAATGATATTAATCATGTAACTATATTTTGTAATTGTTATGAATCATCATCATCATCGAATGGTTTTGTTTCTCCATTTTTTTTCAGGGATTCTTGGTATTTATTTTTACATTTTCCATGAAGAGACGTACATCATGTATTGATGCGATTATTCGCCTGGTACAAATAACCTAAATAAATTATTTTTATTGTAAGAGTTTCTTGTGTTTGTTATTCAATTTATGAAAATAAAATTTTATTGATCGTTACTATTCTGTTTTATTTCAAACGCTAACCTTTCTACTTTAGGAATAGTGTGTCCGATGTGGTTTAGAGAAAGTGTTTGTTGGAAAATGTCATTATATGATCATATGGCCGTATAATGTTATTAGGGTTAGGTACATACTGACTTCAGAAACTGAACATTTTCTGTCAGGAAAGTAGGTTATAATGTAACCTCGAAATAAGCATTTATGGAACTACCATTAATAATTCGAGTTTACGATTTCATTTACTTACTTATCGCAAGATTTCCATCATACTTACATTTGAGGTCTTGTTATAGATGAGATGAAGCTCCTGGAAATTTCTACTAAAGCATTTTCAGTCAATATTAGATACCTACATATGATGCAGAGTATAGTGGTAGTACCTTTGTGCGTGGATATTAAATCTCTTACAAATATAGCTACGGTACCTCGACACTAAATATATTGTTTTCTCCTCGAAATATACACTTAACCCTACGGTTTAGGACACAACTTTCTCTTTCGTGGACTGAGTCTACCGAGAGTACCACAGTAATCTAAGAAGGCTTGTCTCACCGAGACAAACATACATACACAGCACAGAACGATCGCAAGATTTCAAGGTTCCACTCCTTGGCGACTATACAGCGATTTTCTATAAAATATAGATATAGCCATAGGTAGTTCCATTCCATACCAACATTGGAATCAATAAGTAAATAACTTGTGCACCTAAATAAGATCGTCGAAGTTAAATATCACATTCACTCTCCTATACATTCAAGTGTATGTTCAAACGCCCTTGCTCATTATTTAATTTGCGGTCCCACTTGACATTAATGGTCGGCTACGTACACCACTACGCGGTATTCACAAGTGTCAAGATCAAGGACATCATTATCTTTGGAGTAAAAACACTACAGTTACATCGACTTGACTTCCTATTTACTATCGTTAATTAAAGTGTTTAATTTAGTAGAAACGCGTTTGTTTGTTAACGATAACTAAAATTTGAGCAAGATTTAAAGGAGTATTGTATGCTAAATAAATGTATCACGCCTCAGTGAGTACCTACGCAGTAATAAATTCAAATTTTCAGAAAAAAATTGTATGGCCCTTTGTGAACTGTAAACACAAAACAAAATAAGTACACAAGTAAAGTTATTTCGAACTGTGAACCAGTCTCTAGTCTACGGATAACGATAAACTAAAGAAGTTTAGCTTAGAGCTCACGGCGGGTGGCTAGACGGCAGTCATCAGCGCGGAAGAGGCCGAGACACACGCATTCACAGATACATAGTAACCAACCGATTCAAAATGAGTGTATTATTGTGGCTGCAACGAGTAGTGTACTATAATCTATTAACTGTATACTACAATGTGTTGATGCTCATCGGGTTTGCTGTAGTGTATTTAAAAAATCCGTTCTCTAGTCCCTGGACTCAGAAATTGAAATTGGAACCACCTGCGCGACTCACAGACCCTAAATATGGAGTGCACAAATACATCAAAGTTAATGTAAGTAATTTATTTCAATTATCAATTGAAATATTGCAATTGAATGTTCCGTTGGTCGCAGTTTCTTCTGTCTCGCTTTGGCATGAGCGAAATGTATATTTGTGTGATAAGACACGGTATCCTGGTTTCAATTCCCAGGCGTGGTACATACGTCTATGTTATGTTAATTTGTGTCTTAATAACATAACATAACATCACGCCTTTTACCCCCGAAGGAGAAGCAGAGGTGCATATTACCGCACTTAATGCCACTGTACCATGTAACACCCACTTTTCACTATTCTATGTTATGAGTCCCATGTAGGTAATAGGGGGTGAGCATATTGACATTTGTGTCTTGTATAAAGATATTTTTCTTGAAGACTCTTTAAATGAGACAATGATAGAAAAAAAACTTAGCTAATAAAAATTAACTGACCTACCCCATTAACTTAGATATTAGATACTTCTACCCGATGTTCTTAAAAATATGTGAGCGGTATTACGTTAGAAACTATGAACTAAATAGACTGTACTTAGATAGACTTGATAAGCACGTGAAAGTTTTCACATAGTTATCTGGTACATAAGACATATTATGCTGCCGGATATCAGCTGCATTTTTCCCGCGCGCCATCAGTTATATGTACAGATAGGTGAGGTACTTGCGCTAATGCCTTGTTCGCACTACGCTAGTAATTTGGTGAAGTAGCGAGTATTTCGTAGTTCTCTGTTCTCTCTCGCTTTGATTTCAGGACAGGCGCGAATCAGAACTACTAAAGTCGCTACTCGACTAAATCACTAGCGTAGTGCAAACAAGGCATAAGTGATAGAACGTAATTAAAATTAGCTGTTGGTTCTGCTAAGAATGCTCGTTATGTCTCGAGCTAGTTTAATAAAATCTTACTTAACTCGTTGAGTACCGTCAGTATAGACACAATTAAAGAACAATAGGTTGCGGTCACCGGTGACCGCTTGGTGTTTGACAGTTTAATACTAGGTATGTGGAAGATACTTACTGATAGATTTTCAAATAGTTGTGAAAAGTGAGTGTTAGATTTGAAAGGTTACCTAACAGAAAATTAAATGTTAAACGTATAAGATATAAAGAAAATATATGTATAAAGCACATAAAATATTATATTAAATTACATATAGTACCTACTTACATTTCGTGGGTGTTATAAGCTGTCATAACAATATAAAAGGTTGTTATTTGATTATTTTTCAAAAATTATGACAAGTTTCATATGACCTAAATTAAATATTGGTTTCAAGTTACAAATTTTATAAATATCTACGTGAAAGAGAAAAGTGTCTTTTTTACTCATTCACGTCAAAACGGCTGAAAGGACCGGGATGAAATTTAGAACAGGGATAGACAAAGGTCTAGAATAAGACATAGACTACTTATTATCTCACAGGAACGCGGGCGAAGCCGTGGCCATAAAGTAGTGATAATTATACTTATCATCATCATCAGCCTATAAATGCCCACTGCTGAGCAAAGCCTCTTCTCACACGGAGAAGGTTTGACCATTAATCACAACGCTTGCTCAATGCGGGTTGGCGATTACAGACTTATAATTAGAAATTATAAGCCCGGGGTTCCTCACAATGTTTTTCTTCACCATTTGTCAGTGGTGTCTAGATACTCTTAGAAAGTAAGTAGCTACATATAACTCGGAAAAAGTCACATTGGTACTTCCCGTTGGTAGGTTTCGAACCCGTATCCTCATGCATGAGAAGCGGGCGTCTTAAACCTTCGGGCCACCACGACGACGAGATTATACTTATCGTTAAATTCTATCTTCGATCTTATAGTTATATTATGAAGCTGATAGTTTTCCCAAGATTAATTTGATGTACAAACCTAGTCGAGCTTGCATCTAAAACATCAACGAGGCATATTAATCAATCGGACAGATCATTCGTATAGGAAGTAATATTACAAGTCTAGCTATTAGATAAGATATAGGTACAGACATAGATATTTTAGATTTGTCTAGTCATAACTCTAATGTAAAATCTTATCAGGAACATGCGGCGAGGCGTGAAATACTATTATTGATTTGATTGATAGTCATATAGTAACTGAACTTTGTATCTATCCATTAAATTGTTCATATGTACAAAGAACAACATTCACATTTCATCTGCTATAATAATATTTTAACTCATTTTGTTGATTATTTCGAACACTATCCATGAATGACATGCTAGCTAAGGAGGAGGCGGGACGCGTGAGGCAGCGAAGCGCTGCCTCCTCGCAACCCAGCCATCGCGAAGGACACACCGGGCGTCGGGGATCGCGGGACGATCTCCGGCCACCGTAAGCGCGGGCCTGCGGACGGCGAGCATGGGTGGCTCCCCGTCCGACCAGAAACAGACCCGAGCGTACGGCGCGTCGCGTTCCGCGCGCGCCTCAAAGAGCCATCAGACCACCACAGATGGGGCCCAATAGGGCCGATGCCGATTCGGAGTCGCGGAGAACCTAACGGGTAACCGGGGCTCCGGCTCGACGTGCAGGAGAAGGAACGGGGTGGTTTTTAGTCAGTAAGAGTCTGACACTCCCTCCCGCCTCACCCAGGCGGGAGCAGTCATTCGATGATTTTCCCCCCTTAAAAAAAAAGAATCCATGAATGACGTTTTTGAACCAATAGGTACTGCTGAATTATTAATAACTATTAGGTAGGTATAGGCACTTTTTCTTAACCCTTCTAGGAAGAAATGGTTACTGTTTAGGTCATCGGTCACTGGCCACTGGCACTAGGTATAGGTAGTAGTTGTTGCTCCATTTTTTTATATTTTTTTAATGAATAAGCCAGTAAACGACCAGACGGATCCGCAAATGAACAAAGGTCACCGACATAGCCCAGCGGATTAGCAAGTTGAAGTGGCAGTGGGCAGGGCACATAGCGCGGAGAACCGACGGCTGCTGGGGCAGAAAGGTTCTCGAATGGAGGCCACGTACCAGCGTAGGACGTCCATCTGCAAGGTGGACAGACGACCTGATAAAGGTCGCAGGGAGCCGCTGGATGCAGGTCGCTTCCAACCAGCCTATTTGGAAGTCATTGGGGGAGGCCTATGTTCAGCAGTGGACGTCCTGGGGCTGATATGATGATGATGATAATGACCAGACGGGTCACCTGATGATAAGCAATCGGTGCTACCCATGGGACTTTGGTAACCTCGCTCTCATGACGAAACACAACGCAAGCGGTATTTCACGTTGGTTTTCTGTGAGTTCGTATTATCACTCCGGTCAAGCCGGCCCATTCATGCTGCTCTCCCACAATTGCTTCTTCCACATTTACCTAATTAAACTTATTTTTCTATATAACTAGAGGTATCTAAACCCTGTGCATGAATACCACGATGTTCCATTAGCAATTTTCTAACAGGAAACTTGCGTGTAAAGTTTGTGCGTGAAACATAGAAATGCCATTAAGCAATGCGTTTAAAACAGTAATAAATAAAATATGAGGTACTAAAGATATTGAAGACGTATGGGATCTGTATTTTGTAATGGCATGGTGAAATGCACGGGTGTCTAACGGGCGTGCACTAACATGCATAACGTAATATGTTCAACAATTGTACCCAATCGTGCTGTGTAATAATATTCTGCTAAAAGAGAATACATGAATGCCGTTCCGCTTTCTGTATTACCACGTTCTTCCGGCGAGTTGTATAAACCCAACCAACCTGTTTTCGCGTGCTTCCCAGCTCAACAGGCAGGTGCAGCAGTGGGACGATAAATCGTGGGATGCACTATTAATATTAAACAGATTTGTCTATTATACGACTGCCTCATTGGACGAGTGCAACTGCCGGACAAGGGGTCTCGGGTTCGATTCCAGGATCGGGCAAACATGACCGGGTTTTTAAAAAAATCTCAGTAGTAGCACTTTAGTTTAGATGGCAATAGGCTCACCCCTTATTACATGGGACTCATAACATAAATAGTGAAAAGTGGGTGTTAACATTGTACAGTGGCATTAAGTACCGTAACGTGCCCACCCCTTCGGGAATAAAAGTCGTGATGTTATGTCTTATGTCCACTATGAAAAGTATAAATAAGATAAATAAAAAACTTACCCAATGCTAGACAATGCAACGGAATTGTGCAATTTAGAACAAAATGTTCCAAATTAGCGTAATAGTTTTTATTTGTAGCACATTTTTTTTTTTAAGTTTTCTAGAAACAAAAAAAAGAAAAACAGTTGTCAATTCTTAATTTGAAATTGTAATAGATTAAGTCTATGGAATTATGTGGCTGCGAGTCTATTAAATTTACATCTATAAGAAATTGTTCTAAATTCTTGTAAAAAGTTAAACAATCAACTATTTACAACAGTGATGTTATTTGTTGTTTTAACTTCCGCACAAAGAAATGAGTAACTAGTGGTATGATAATTATAATATGGTAAATAGTATTTAAGGTACCTACCTATTAACTGCGACAATATTAAACACAGTAATGTTGCGTCTAACTAATCTTCCATAAATCTGCAACTGCAATTTATTATTAAGTGCAATTTTATGTTTCCTTGTTGTATGGGAATCAGATAATTACGACTTACGCATAATTAAACTGTAACAAAGACCTTGGACAGTTTTTGCACTTGATGTTTCGGTCGAATGAATCTAAACCAAGATCGTGGTAGAACGTAGAAATGACGACGTGGTAGACTACAGTCAGGTACAATTCTGTAAAGATCGAAGTGAACTCGATGGCGGTGCGCCATGTTATTAGTTGTCAGAATAATCTCGACCAATGACGAGCTAGAATGCGATCAAGCTCATTTCGAAAGTTCGAATTGTCAGTTATAAAATACTAAATACCAATCGGATGGATAGTGAGATTCCAATGTCGAGTATAGAAACAGTTATTTCTTAAATATTTGTATTAAAAATTATACGATCGGTGTTAATAAGTTCAAGCGCGATTTTTTATTAGCATTGCTTGACGCACACCATCCATTCAGCCAAGCCGTTACATGCTCCTAAATTAGCCGAACGGTATTATGTCTTACGTAAGCAACATGCAACGTACCATAAAGTACCAGATTTAATTTTTGCGATCGCAATTTACTTCGTCATGGTCCAAAAGGTCGCGAATTCCGGTACCAAATTTTAGGAATCAGTTCGCAGCCTAAGGACATTTTAGAATACCAAAAGTAATGAAATTTAAACTCCATGTAGAATACCCAATTATATTTTATTTTATTTTAACATAGGTACCTTAAGTATGTAAACAAAGCTAACTATATGTAAATACTTACTTATAAGTGCGTTGCGGTCGTGCGTAACATCTTCAGTTTTTGCGGTTACTATATTTAACACAACAAAAATGAATGACGTTAAAGTTATCATAATTATAGTCATTCTTAGTTAGGTACAGTTAAGATATCACTGTCTTATCTACCTTCTATTAGAGAAGGAACGTAGCAAAAATTACACTTTTAGGTATGCGATAAGGGTTGGATGGTAAAACATAGATAAGTACTTATATTATATACAACGAATGCTTGACTCCAGAATGGAGTATATAGTTTGTGAAAATCCATGCTACATTAACTCTTGGCGGCTCCCTCGTCTTCTCGTCGAGTACAACAACTCCTGAGGACCAACTGCTTCGTGGAGGAGCGAAACATTTATATCGAGTACCTATGGTTCAACTGGTTTATTGTGTGTCGTGGGTATGCTTTGTGTCGCATCCCTGCTGCAAGACCGTTTATATGCGGGGGGCCGGCGGAGCTGCATACTACATTATTTCAGCGGAATAAAAACTAAATATTTTCCCAGTTGTCAGTGTAAAATAGATACTGTTAATAGATGTTTACGAAACATAATTATGTAGCAGGTAACATTAATAATATTCGCAAGAACGATTTAATTCTTGTTTATGCATAGGAAATTGTCGACAGCAGAGTTAATGTTGCCTATTTTGAACCGACATTAACTCGTCGAGTACCGGTTTTGCAGACACAATTATAGAACAATAGGTTGCGGTCACCGGTGACCGCTTGGTATTTGACAGTTTAAAAAACAGTGGCATTAAGCGCCGTAGTGAGCACTCTGCCTTTCCCTTCGGGGATAAAAGGCGTGATGTTATTTATGTTTATAAAAGAATTATAATGTCACAAGTAGGAAGTCTTGACCCATATGAGTGGCAGATTAGAATTATAATTAATTAGATTGTTGTAGTAGGTATACAATAAGTATAATATAAGTAGTAGTAACATAATAATACCGTGATTTGAAAAAATAAACCATTAGTGGTCGAAAGACCTTCACATTATACAATGAAACTGTCTATTGAAATTTCGTTTACATTTTTCTTTTCTTTTCTTCACAGGGCACGGTATTGCACTATGTTGAGAGCGGTGACCCTTCGAAACCTCTTATGATATTTGTTCATGGCTTCCCGGAGTTCTGGTACTCCTGGAGACACCAGATTGTGGAGTTCCAAAAGGATTATTGGTATGTATATTGTTTGCATAACATACTTTACATAAATCAGACTCTACCATTATTACTGCTGATATTTCTTTCTCAGGTTGTATATAGGTACTTCTCTCAAATTAATTATATTTTTCAAGGTTTATCTTTTTAACGAAGAAGAACCGAGAAGGTTCGATTATTATATTAAGACTTTTGCTAAAAACTGCAACTCCACACTGTGCCAAAACTTGCATAGCAATAAGTTTTTGTAAACACAGCTGGCTCTTAGAAGTAGCGCGCACTTCGAAGTTAATTTTAGCAATTTTTGTTTACTTTAACTCTTTCGTCAGTTTACATCATTCTTTTCCAATGGATAAGAAAGTAGGTGGGCAGTAGGTACCTACAGAATCTCATAGATGGTTCGAGATTGTTTATATGAAAAACAAGAAAGTATTTTAGAATCACACCCACAGCATCTACTTCCAGAAACATTCGAGAAATGGCAATATTGCTATTAATAGTTCCACAATAGGAATCGGTAATCACGTTTGACTTGGACGTGTCCATTTGTTTTGTCCTCTCTAACAAGACCTAAATCTGTCTGTCAGATTTATTAAACTACTTCGAGTCTTTAACCTGATACTTGTCTATTCATTTCAGGTGTGTGGCCATTGACCTGAGAGGCTACGGAGATTCAGAACGACCAGAGGGCGTGGCTGCTTACCAAATCCAAAATCTAGTCGCAGACATAAAAGATCTGGTAATTCAATTAGGTAAACGTTTTCAATTTTATTTTGAAGTTGTTACTGCGGCCGAGTATAATAGCGGGGCTCTCTTCAATTGTTGAGATGTGCGTGCGTGACGATGCAAAAATGAATACATAATTCAGTTTGATGGACGTTTCGTACATCGTTTACGTGCAGTCTGTGCCACTATCTCATTATACTACTTTAGTAGACTGATAAAAAACGTTGTATACCTAGTTATATTAAACGTACTGTACAAATAATAAAGGTCAACCGTATTGTTACAGTGATATGAGATCACTGGACCCATTCTGTACGTACTAAGCATGGAGACGAGACATATGAACAAAGCAAATAATGCATAAGTATGCCGTTGCATAATATGTAGATTAAATTGTACCTACCCATCGCTAGGTGGTTTTTGTTCTATTTCAATACAATGCAATGTTGAGTCATTTTACAATACTCGTCTACAATTTATTTACCAGCATATTAAGTACGATAGAATATTAGGTTTTTAAATTGGAAACTAAACTGTTTAATATTATGTACCTGATTAATAATAACTAACAATATTACGTACTTTTAGGCAGAGAGAAATGTATTTTAATTTCTCACGACTGGGGTGGTTTGATCGCTTGCCAGTTCCGCAACCAACACCCTGAAATGTTGCATGGATTAGTCATGTTGGCCAGCATATCGAGCACAGCTTGGGTGCGCGAGATTTGGAACAATCCTGAACAAAGAAAGCAATCTTGGTAAGTTTCCTATCTAAGTAGTAACTTACCGTCTTGATAAGATACTGTTTTTTTTATTTATGGCATAATCCGGTAAACGAGCAGACGGATCACCTGATGATAAGCAATCGCGGTCGCCCATGGACACCTGGGACACCAAAGCGTTACAAGTGCGTTACCGGCCTTTTGGGAATTGGGAATTTGAGGATTGTGGAGTATTCAGGATTCGGGAGACTGGGGAGGGGGTAATTGGGTCTCCGGTTACCTCACTCACACGACGAAACACAACGCAACGTTATTTCACGTCGGTTTTCTGTGAGGCCGTGGTATCACTCCGGTCGAGCCGGCCCATTCGTGCCGAAGCGTGGCTCTCCGACACATAACATTATTTCACGTCGGTTTTCTGTGAAAACTGTTAAATATTATCCATCTTTAGATTCAGATCTCTACTTAGTATTTACACATTATTTTGCTGGTCTTCTTAGATAATACTCTTCACAAGAAGCTTTACTGCCGATGTTTGTCTGGAATACCAATCAACGTAAATCAGTTACGTAGTCAGCTATAGGTTCTCACACAATTATTTTTAATTGTTTGTTGAAAGAACTCTTCCTACTAACTTCTAGACTTGTTTGATTTATCAATGAGACCAATAACATTGGACAGTAATAAAATCGTGGATCGTCAATTTGAGTTTATTGCAAGAATCATTCTAAGATCAAGTGATTTTTATTGGTGTCTTTTGGAACGAGTGCGACACTGTCATATCGTAACGGTAGCTCATTTTATTTATCCATGCGTATTTGGACGCGGTTGATGTCTGATCAAAAGAGAAATCATGCATTTTAAAATGACGTAATTTTTTGGCCTTTTGTTGATACCTTTGCCGATGGTACTATTGTACGATATGTTACGTCATTGCGTGGGTATATTTACTTAATAATATGTAATACTAGAATCTATTTACGACTTCAACTGTGTAGGTTTCGATCTTTTCTGACTTAATTATCAAACTCATCATTATCATCATCAACAGCCTATAAGTGGCCACCGCTGACCAACGGCCTCTTCTCGCACGGAGAAGGTTTAAGCATTAACCACCACACCACGCTTGCTTAATGTTTTCTCACCGTTGTTTGTTTCCTTCACCGTCTATCAGCGGGGTCTCTTACTCTTAGAAACTCTTAGAAATTAAAACTCTGAAAAAGTCTCATTGGTACATGCCGTTGGTAGGTTTCGAAATCGCACTCTAGTGCATGAAAAGCGAGCATCTTAAGTCTCCGGGCCACCACGACAGTACACGAACAAGAATCTATTTAAGTATTAGTTATCTAGTTAAATTGCTAAGCTATCCATTTAAATTGCTAAGCAGTTAAAAAAAACCAAAAGTAATCGCCATTCATAATCCATACATGCATTCATATTTAATCACAGTTATAATGTGAATGGGTATTTTGTATGACGTAGCTATACCCTTTTATAATAGGTAGGTACATGTCTATGTTTTGTGGTTTAACATTGTTGACATTGTAGCTGTAGCTGTATATGTATATAGCTGTACATAACAGATAGACACGTAAGATTAACAAAGATACGTATAAAAGATCGGCGTGTTACTAAAAGGATTTACGCATCATAAATATTCCAAATTATGCTGTACCGTCAAATATTTTGGTGTTCGAAAACATTTTCTTGATAATCTAAGTTTAACTGGTGGTTAAATGGTCGCAAGGGTTCGATTCCCGAGTCGGGAAAGGTATTACTGGGTTTTAAAAAAAATCTCAGTTGTAACACGGAGTCTGGAAATGTGCCCGGTATTTGGCAATAGACTCACCCACTATTACCTACATCGGACTCATAACATACCTAAATAGTGAAAAGTGGGTGTTACAATTGTACAGTGGCATTAGGTGCCGTAATGTGCACCTTTGCCTATCCATTTGGGGATAAAAGGCCTTATGTTAAATATATATTTCTTGATAATCGCTTATCTCATAGTTTATGGATTACTTCTGAATCTACATTAATTATGAGCGTCTTGTATTGTGGAATTACTTTACTATTTTATTAAGTTAGATGTTCTTGAAGAAGCAAAGATGAAGAAGACTGAATATAAAGACAATAAAACTTAATCTATTTAACCAAGTCAAATTACCTAGTTATAACTATCATAATATATGTAACTTTACAAATATATCATACATATAGGTATAATATTATCAATTATGTATTATTGTTGATGTTTGATTATTATTTTGTACCTAGGTGCCTACTAAACTAAACCGTCTTTGCAATTTCCAGGTACGTATTCTTGTATCGTGCACCGGTGATACCAGAAAAAGCACTTCTCATGAATGATTTAGAAATCTATGAAAAAGTCATGTTGTTGCCTGGCAAAAGCAACACTGATAAAGAAGACATCGAGTGCTACAAATACTGGTTCCGTAAGCCTTGTAAGTTTTATTTCTGGTTATAACAGGTTATTTTTAAATAACTTCTAATAAAGTTAATGGTCGAAACGACGGTTGACATAATCTATGACAGATTTCACTAAGCTACGCACTCAAACATAGTACACAACACAGAATTGCGTAGCATTCGTAGTGTTCATTAAAGTAGAGGCAGGCGTAGCACACGTAGCGTTGCGTAGCATACGTAGCATACGTAGCTTTGCGTAGCTTTGCGTAGCATACGTAGCGTTGTCGTAGCGAAGCATTCGTACCACTGCGTAGCGTATGCACGTAGCAGTGTAGCGTGGAGTAACATACGCAGTAATGTAATGTGGCGTAGTACATGTAGAGTTGCGTAGAGCGCTATTTATTTGCGCATTTGACAAAAAAATCCACAAAAAAGTGTTAAATACACACGTTATTCAAAATATTTTATGATCGCACGGGTAAAAAATCTTTTAGGCACTTAATATTGTTTGGTGCATGACTGGACGGGTACCTCTCTTGTTTAGTAAAGTGCTAGATCAAATGCAACACGTTGCCCTGGTTATTCAATGGACTAAAAACTTCCGTAGAAATATTTTACAACATGGTAAAAATACGTCACACCTATCTTCAGCTCCTTTCGCTTCGCTGACTCAGAAAATTCATTGGAGTGGAACCCAGTTTAAATCAGTAATAACGAATTTAGCTCTTCTTTTTTTAGTATTATTAAAATAAGTAGCAATGACCCAATGACATGTGTACCTTTATGGGTCATATGTAAACTTAGGTACTTAATATTTACGTACATACTTTTGTTACAGTTGCCTTAACGCCTCCAATCAACTATTACCGAGCGAACTTTAGATTCGACTTCCCGGAGATTGTTGAACACAAAGAGAATGTACCCATGCTGGTGGCCCATGCAGCCAACGATCATTACCTGTGCCACAGCTTGCTTGACACCATAAAGAAGGAGTATTCCACAATAGAGACCGCTATTGTCGAAAACGCGAGCCATTTCTTGCAACAAGAAGAGCCAGAGAAAGTGAACAAACTGATCAGGGACTTCCTTTCTAAGAATAATATTTAAAATTCCTATGATTTTATTGTTAGCTTTCTATGTTAAGTGATTTTAATGATTAGACCGTAGTACATACGTTTATACGTAAGAGTATTAATTATCTAAAACTTATTTTTTATTATGTTTGTTTATTCTTACCTATAATAAAATATAATAGGTAAAATGTGTGCCTTCATAGTCAATGTTACTAATTAACGTAACTAAATGTTTATCTTTATTAGCATGATTATGATTCTGATGAAAAATAAAATATCTTATTAAAGTACATTCTTACTTATTTACCCGATAATACCGTGTGCGGCCGGGCAACTGGCTAGGCTACCTCTACTGTTTCGATTCGTACACGAAACAGTCCTTTATATAATCCAGAAATTGTTGTTTTGGGTCTGGGTATGATGTATAGGTAATGTTCTAAAATAACAGCAGCATGGGCAGAAAACATTAGTCATATATACATTTCATCATTTCTGTCAAAGGACATATTTGGAGCTAATGTAGTCATTTGTATGCTAGGTAGGTACTACGAGGCGAGGCGAAATATTATCAACAAGAGATCTTTAGTATCTATACAGTGCCAAACCAGTCACCTGCAACAATTTCATGGGAAATCTATCCAGTTAACTTAGTCTTATTCAGTTAATTTGTAATAAAAAGAATCTGTGGTTGGGGCATAGCACAGGGTTCCCGTAGAAGAAGTCTTTTATTTTGAAGAAGAAAGTGGGTAACTAACTACAGCAGGTAGGTATGTAAATTATAGTTATAAATATTTTAAATTCATATCATTATTTGCATCACAATCACAAGTGGTCTTATGACGTGACAAACGATTGGTGCAGAATTTATGGGTTCTGGGGTCTTAGTAGGTAAAATATCCCTATAGCACCTGAGATTTTTTGCCACTCCAATCGCTAGTGAAACGATATAATATGATCCTGTAGGACGTGGTAGATAGGCGACATATTCGCCAATCATATTTTAATTTGGTAAATCTGTGCAAGTGAACAGTCAATAAATGAAAAAATCCGAATATCGAATGTGAAAATACAATATTTTCCACTGTTGCAACACTGAACCTTCTTCGATTCTCTGTGATCAAGGTCATGTCACAATATAATCGTTCTTATTTGTGAACTGTTCAGAAAATGTTCTGTCTCTTTTCTGTAACACCATAAACCTACAAAACAAACTCTGATGTCTAATGGCATCTCGTTCTAACTTGTATCTTTATATTTGGAAAGATAATACTCCGCCACAAATGAAATGAAAGCTAATGGCTGCTGTACTCTAATCACGAAACAGCTGATATGCGTCTTTTAGTTTTACATAGAAATCGGTGTTTTGTTTAAATTTATCGTTTGAATTTGCTTAGATGAAACGTTATTCGTGTGACAATTTTGTGTGGATATCAGGGTTGGTGCAGTTCTGTTTTAAAATCGATTTTTGAAGTGGTCTGTTGTGAGTTTTCTACATTGCTGGCTTTTTCAGATGTCACTGACCATACAGCAAATAATTTTGGATGCTAAACGACTTGCGGGACGTCTCAAAGAGCGCGAGACTGAAGCTGATGCTTTGCTAACCGAAACTCAAACTGCTTACCGACAAATACATACGATGAAACAGGTAGGTTGTTGGAATGTGATACGAGTACAAAACTGTGACGCTCGCTCTTGTCTATTGTCTGAATATCTAATTATTAGGACAAGATCTTCTAGGTAATTATCATTACGAGTACTATTGGTTTAACAAGATCTAAATGTGATGTAAACATATTCTTAACAGAGTTCCATGACCTTGTGGTTTGTTTTTCTTATGTTGTGTAAACAGTTGGCTTTCACATAACTCAATTAGCCACCTCCTGGATTTACTAAAATGTGATCAACATCCGAGATGCAATACCTAGCATTTATTTCAAACACATACAACAATGTTATAGATTGAACGGCTAACCTATTTTAAAATTCATAGTCTGCAGATTTTTACATATATTAATATGTTATTGACATAATTATATTATCATTTAAGGATAATTATCTTCTATTTTATCTTATAGATATTCAAATTCATTCTTAAATATTCCTTGTCTGTATAATTATTGAGATATGTGGATCACCTTAGGCTTGTTAGTGAAAGGTGTACCATGATAGATTTAAAAAATAGATGAGCTGGCAATATGTCAGTACAAAATAGTATGCTATCCACTTACATACATGTTATATATTAAGTTTCTGATTTACTAATTGACAACTTTGGCTCGCTGCCATATCTCCCTAACTATCTTAGTAAGATAACAAACACAATATTGATGGTTACTCCACTATAACACTTTCATTGATCACTTGGAATAAGAATATTTTTTATAGCATTCAAAATTAGTACTGCATACTGATAAATTACTAATTAATGTTGCTTTATAAAAAAAAAAAATTGCTGATGTTTAGTTTTTTTTTAAATATCATGTTTCTAATTAGCCATTAAATAAGTACACATTTGTATTTAAGTGCTCAACCAATTGACAGAAAATAAACAAAGATTTGATATGATAAAGAACATTTACTTCAATATACAATTCAGAAACCTTAAAAATTGTCATGTCAGTAGTTTTTCCTGTTATTTTACTTTGAAAGTAAAACAAGTATGTTGTTTATAATTAGAATCTTATGTAATAGTGTTTATTTATGCTGTAATGACACATTTATAGGAGGAAATTATTATTTAAACTGTCCAACACAAAGCGGTCACCGGTGACTGCAACCTATTGTTCTATAATTGTGTCTACAAAGACGGTACTCGACGAGTTAAACATAAAACTTCATAAACATGATCTTATAAATAAATAGACACTTTTGTAGTGTTTTTTCATTGCATGAATATATTTTTATTACAGTTCAAGATCATACAGGTTAACTATCAGCCTATATTTATGTGCAATATCTTAATAAAATTTCAGTATAAAGAAGAAGTTGATACTTTAAATGAGGCTTCTCGCGAGAGACCACGCGGGGCTCTCATTGGCAGTATTGAGCGTGAGTCACGTCTTATGAGAGATGTACAACGTGAGAATGGTGAGCTGAGGGCAGCCCTGGAAGATCACAGACGAGCATTGGAACTCATCATGTCCAAGTACCGACAGCACACTGAGAAAAGAGTATGGGAGTCGAGGATAGATTTTACAAATGCTATCAATGAAAAACAGCAGGAGGTAGGTGGAATTAATCTATTCTCCAGTCTGGAAAATATCGGATATGGGCTATTTATAATTAGATAAACAAGTAGGCGAAAGTACTACATACTTGACTCCCACACATTTTGTAAGGCAGATAAACTAAAAATAAAGATTGTGGAAAATGTAAAATGTATTTATATTTAGAGTATGGATATGGATCTTGTTAGTTAGCAATGTCTAATTTCTAACCCTATTTTATTTGTCCACTGTGTACAAAGCAAATAGATGTATAAATCTATGGCTGTTATTTACAGTTGATCCGGCAACAAGCTGAAAGAATTAACGAGATGACAAGTATTATGTACAAAGCTGTCACTTTGGATGAAAATAGTGATGCGAGGAAAGAAGAGGAACTCTACCAAAGGCTCATTACAGAAAATAAGGTAAACATAAACAACTCTCATATATGCAATTGTTCAATGGAATTTGTATACATAACATTTTATTTTTATTTATTTATTTATTTATTTACATATACATGTTTGTAACAGTTACATTAGTTATTTACCTTTTTCTTATTGTTAAGTAGAAAATAATTCAGTCTGGTGTAATTGCAGGGTTTGAGAGAAATGCTGGATCTGTCAAGGAGATACGGGTCAGACCGCCCGTGTGTCCCGCTCACGGAGGACAAGGACGTGCAGACAGATGGGCCGCCACTGTCTGGCGCGTGACGGTCCGTGCTCGAGCCCTGCCGCCTGTGAACGCACGGCGCTGGCGGCCCTGGAATGGCTGCTTCGCCGCGACCCTCTCATAGGTAGACAACACTCCTCCTGTCCGCACATTTGAAACCCTAACAGCACGGACTTTTGTACTCAATAGTGTGTACATATTTACTTAAGATAACTACGTAACTCATGTGTCCAAAGTCCCTCAGAAGTTTGAAATGCAGTACCAATGAAATTATGTGTAGATGACTTTAATATTATATTGTCCAAATCTAAGTTTGGATGTGTCGTGACGGTTAAGACGTCGGTATGCATTCGAATTTAGTGACAATAATTGTCTTATGGTATCCTACGTAACTATTGGGCATCATGGCCCGTATTTCATAACAGTAAGTAATCTTTAAACGTATAATACGTGACTGGGCTGATTGTAAGACAGTTGTGATACAACTGTAACGTACTTGCTGTGATATGACTAGCAGAATATCATCCACTTCGACTAGTACTTACTGTCCACGTTATGAGGTGCATCTATGTTGCAAATGTGATGATGAATCGGAATAATGTCAGATGTGCAGGCAGGGTTGTAATGATTTGTTAACAACAGTCACCGTTCCAGTATACAACTTGTATTTTATTGTTACTCACAGGTTTTGGATCTTAGGTCTTTTGACATACGTACCTTTCAGATTCACATTTATTTTAAAAATGTGAGTGTTACAAATTAAATACAGCGAAAAACTACAATGTAGCTATTAAAAACATTTGGTTTATCCTTTGGTTGTATTTGATGTTAAATATTATAAAATAGGAGTATTTATGAGTATAAATGGCGTTTCCAGTTAGAGCTCATGTTATATCTATAAATAGATTGTATCGTGTTCACACAACGTCTATAATGATAATGCCATTTTGTGTAACCAAATCACTTGATATGGCAGAAACTGTGATCTTTAGTATTGCGCTGTTAAGTTGTAGAATGTTTCATTCACTGTGCTTCACTTAACACTCAACCACTTATTAGACTAATTGATGATAATAATACATAACTTCATTTGTTTTAATTCATATAATATGATTAGATATCTTATTGTAATATAAAGCTTGCAACATCATGGCATGTGTGGTTGGTCACCTGTTAATTTGAATAAAGTTTAAAGAAATATATTTATCTCAAACCATACCTAATATAATCTATAATTTGTTTGTAATACTCGTCGTGTACCTACCATAGTTATGTTTTAAATTCTAGTAAATGTACTTTGTTTAGCATGATATTAGAATTCTCGAATTACATTTAGAATTAAAGAAATTGTAACTTTAATTTGTCATTGCTCTTACGACCTCCTTGGCACCCTGCA